TGTCTCACCACCCGCACAGGGAAAACTTCTGCCTAATCTAAATTTCCCTCTTTCCATTCCTCCCCATTGCTCCTTGTCCTGTCCCTGCAGTTCCTAACACAGATCCCTCTGCAGCTTCCCTGGAGCCCCTTCAGCTCCTGCAGGTCCCTCAGCTGTAGTGAAAACTCCCCATGAAACTGACTGCCCATCCCTGGAAATGTTCCAGGCCAGGTTGAACATATACAGATGGGATATTGGGCAGGAATTGGTCCCTGTGAGGTGCTGAGGCACTGGCACAGGTTGGTCAGAGCAGCTGTGGCTGCTCCATCCCTGGGAGTGTTCCAGGCCAGGCTGGATGGGGCTTGGAGCAGCCTGGGCTGGTGGGAGGTGTCCCTGCCCAGGGCAGGGGTGGCACTGCATGGGCTTTAAGGTCCTTCCAACCCAAACCAGTCTGTGATTCCATGAGCTCCAGCTGTGGATGATGTGGAGGTGTGACACTGGGATTTGGAAGCTGTGGACGCTGGCAGGGCTGTGTGGGAGCTGCACTCACTGGTGTGTCCTTGCCTTCTCTGCAGGGATTGCTGAAGCTCAGAAGAGGAAGAGTTAACAAGAGCTCCTCCTAGTTCTGACGGGAATGGTTTCCCCCTGGAACTTCCTGCGGGACTTCCCTGGCATTGATGGAGCTGCAGAGCACATCCAGCTGCTTTGAGCTGTGCAAACTGGGCCATTAAACCTCCTGTGTCAAATTTTAATTACACATTTCAAGGTGCTAAACACACAACTTGGCCTTGAATATGCATCATGTAAGGCACAAGTGTTGTTCAGCATCCAGAGTCTTGCAGGAGCCACTTGAGATTCCAAGAGTGGGGTTGCTGCTTTTCCTGACAGGATGGATCCAAGGTATGTCAACCCACCTGCAGAACACTGTTTCTGGAGTGCTTGGAGCATGTCATGGGATTAATGACAAGGATTAAGACATAAAGGGAACAATTTGCTGAGTGAATTCAGGATCCTTAAGGGAAAGCTCTGAATAACCTGGAAAATCCAATCCTGCAGGTGTAAATGTTCTATAAAATGACTGTGAAAATAGGGTTTGGATTCTGGGTGACTTCTGAACCTTCTGGGAGCCTTTTTGGAGCAGAAAGAGATTTGTTTTCTACCTCTAAGTTTGATCTGAAGGAGAAATCAAATTATTTCATCCTCTGGAATATTGACCAGTGGCAAAACTACTTTGACTGGATAGATAAGTGTGACCTAATCACTTCCTGCTTTGCTGTCAGTGATAAACTCAAAGGTTTTCTAACTTTTGAATCTTACCTTCTTACCCATCATTTCTAACTCTGAGGGAAAAGACTTTGGTAGCTCCTAAGTATTTCTTGTGCTTGAATGAGTGAACAAAATGGAAGCAAAGGGAGAAGAACAGAACATTTCAGGGCCTGTGGAATAGGATGATCAGTGGGATCAGTTGCTCAGGTGCAAGGTCCCAGCATGGGTCCTGCGACTTCTGCAGTCCTGCCAGGGCTTCAACTGACACCTCAGGTTAGACTTTAGCTGATAGGACTTTAACAGGTGTTACAAACTGTGTTAGTGTATGAATATAGCTGTGTTAGGCTGGACCATAAAATGCTTTGCCATGATACTCAATTTTAAGCTGTTTGTCAGAGAAAGTAATTTCAGATGTGTTTTAAAACAATTCTAAATTAATTCACTTGGTTGTTTATTTATTTAATCCCTTTATTTATGGTTGTTAAAGCTGAAGGAGAAAATTCTTTGGAGATAGTTCTACCCTTGCCCAGCTAAATTCAAAATCAGATCCTGTGGATATTAACACTGTGAGGGTAATAAGTAGAGAAAAATAGTTACATTGGAGAGAGAGAATATTTTAATAGCTCTTCTGCATTAAAACACGCAACATAAACTTTATAATTTCCTGATAATTTATAGTTAGTTCTTCCTGATTTATCCTCTTTCTGGTAGTATTTTTTGCAAGTCATGACTTCATGTAACACTTCAAATAAAGCCAATAAATGCTTATTTTAATTCTGTTAAGAATTTCAGGTGCTGTTCTGCTGCAGAATGAATACAAATAGTCCCACAGTGGTTTCTGTGTTTATTTGAAGTGCTAAGAGCCTTTTGTTCACATGAATGAAGGAAAGTGCTAGTGCCATAAAATTGACTAAAATTGCCACAAAATTGACTCAAATTGTCCTGAAGTTGACTCAAACTGTCCTGAAATGTGGAGGATCATTGCCCACCTGCAGCAGGAACTGCTTCAGTAGTAGTTCTCCCTCCAAACTAGAGGTTAAACTAGCTCCCTGCACACAGCCCTTGGTGTGGTTGCAAGAGACTTGCTAGGATGATGTGCTGAATGTGTTTGCTTTTCCTGGATTTGTAGGTACAGCAGCAAAATGTTTGTTTTCCAAGCAAAGGGTTTGATTTCCTAACCTCTCAGGAAACCTGATGGATGTGCCAATGTCTTTCTGGCAGCTTGGTAAGTGCCTGAACCTTGTGCTGGAGAGGAGTTGTACTGTGGGTTCTTCCCTGATAAGCTCCTGAGTTGCTCAACTGGGACACTGTCATGGGATTGGAGAGCTCTTCCTGGAATAATTCCCAGAATAAGGACCTCATGCCTTGTATCATAGAATGTTAAGGGGTTGATTCTATGAGGTTGAGATTTCTCTGACACTGGGCCTGACTGCAAAGCTGGTTGTGGCCTGAACCACAGCCTGTGGCAGGAGAAGTGTTGCAGCAGCTGTTAGTGGTGCTTTTGTTACAGAAACAGCACACGGAATAGAGGAGTTATGAAATAGAGCCTGAAGCACTGAGTTACAGAGTTAGCTGGCTGAAAAGTGAGGAACAGCCTCAAGCTGTGCCAGGGGAGGTTCAGGTTGGCCATCAGGAGGAATATCCCCATGGAAAGGGCTGTCAGGCGCTGGGATGTGCTGCCCAGGGAGGTGGTGGAGTCACCACCCCTGGAGGTGTCCAAGGAGCTCAGGATGTGGCACTCAGAGCTCTGGGCTAGCTGACAAGTGGTCACAAGTTAGACTTCGGTGATCTCAGAAGTCTTTTCCAGCCTCAGTGATTGTTTGAATACCCCAAAGCTGTTGAACTACAGCTTTGAGGTCTCCCCAGATTTAGAAGGACATCTGTGAAGATGATTGAAGCAGTAATAGGATCTTTTCCAAGACCAGTTTTAATACTCTTGTAATGACTTAAATGATGTTTAATAGACAGAGTGAAGCACCTGAAATCTAGTCAGAGTCCTCCAAGGCAATGTTTGAGAAGACTATCTCTAGTCAGAGTCCTCCAAGGCAATGTGTGAGAAGAATATCTTGAGTGTGTTTGTTCACAGAGTCTTGACCCTGCCCTGGAGGGATCAGCATGAGCCTGAGCCACAGTATAGGGATCCAAGGGCTGACTCCTTGCAGTAGTGTCAGGGATGAGTTCTCCCAGGCTCTGTGGGAGGAGGGAAGGGGAGAGGAGAGCAGAGGGAAGATGTGAAAGGAAGAGTAGTCCCACTGGAGGTGCTGCGCGTGTCCTCTGACTACTGCTGGTCACTACAGCCAATGGGAAGCTAAATCTCTTGTGCACTAACCTCCGTCTCCATCCACAGTGTCCATCGCCCTCCTGTCCACAGCTGGTGGCAACTTGGCTGGTAAGAACTTTCATCAGCCTCCAGATGCTTTCCCCAACACATTTCCTCATGCTGTGTGTTCCCCCAAGTGTCAGGAGCAAACTGGTGCTGTCTGGGTAGAGAGAAGAGCAATGTCATCCAGGAGCTCAGTCCTCTGTGTTGCTGTGGCTGTTTCAAGCTCTGGTTGCTTTGTCTGGGGGCAGATCTTGGGCAGCTCTGATGCGGCTTGTTTACATGTGCTGCTCTATATTCTACAGGCTTTTATTTGTGTGTGTTTGTGTTGCATTTTTATATATTTGCATTTTATTTTAAATGTTTATATTTTATTTTTAGATGTTTAGATTCTATATTTATTTATATATTTCTATTTTATTTATCTTATTGTATATATTTGTATCTATACCTATACTTTATTTCTATGTATTTGTATTGCAGTCTCACACTTTTTGCCATTAGTAGGTTGTTTCCTAGTTTGTTGACTTTCTCTGCCTTTCCAGAAGGATTTCTGCAAGAAGCTCCTTATGACCTACAGATCAAATCTCACAATTTTCAGCACATTTTGTCCTGGAAGGCAAAGTCTGATCCAGCTGTGCCAACATCCTACCGAGTGTTCCACACTGACCCCTGGCAAGTCCTGGAGCTCAGTGTGCATGGGCCCAGATGGGAGGGAGGAGGTGGAGTCACCACCCCTGGAGGTGTTGAAGAACCTCAGGACGTGGCACTCAGAGCTCTGGGCTCACTGATGGGTGGTGATGGGTCCCAGGTTGGACTTGGTGCTCTGGGAGAGCCATTCCCACCTCAGAGATGCTGTGCAAACACGAAGGCTGAGGTGTCCCTTTGCCCTCACCCCCCCAAGCTCTCTCATGTCCACAGCTCAGATGTTCTGGTGTTCCCACAGGGTCTGGCTGATTGCTGAGAACTGCTCAGGTGTTCCTCAGCTCTCCTGCGACCTCACAGGGAATTTCCAACACCGCTCCTTGCCCTATTCCATGTTTGTCCAGAGCATCACAGGAACCCAAGTGCTCAATTCCACTGTGCTGACCTTTGTGCCACAAACTGACAGTAAGTTCTCAATCTGCAGCTCTCGCTGTCGTGCTCAGGGGCTGATGGAGCTCTGGGTGGTAGTTCTGGGAAGGGATGAAGTTCTGGTTTTGAAATTACATATACTTACACAAATATGAAGGAAAAAACATCATGTCAAGGCTTGCCAAGGACAAAGTTAAAATTTCTAAGTCCATCAGATGCATAACTTTTAAAAAAGCAATTTAAAGCCAATTTTATTTCTTCGAGTAGCCAATGTTGAGCTGAAGAAATGCCAGTCTGCACTGAGGGTAGGGGAAGAGATTTACTTGTCTGTCCGTCAACCTCTTTTTCTTGTTGAAGTTGCTGTTTAGCTGTGACATTTCCCTTCTCCCTTAGCTGTGCTTAGAATTCAGCTCGAGGTAGCAGAGGCAGAGGTTGAGGATCAGTTGGAGGACCATGGAGGAGAAACAGGTCCTGTTCCCACTGAGCTGAGCACAGAGGTGGCTCCTGTGTCCACTCCCAGCCTCGGGGGTGAGGGAGTTTGGAGGGGATGGAGAGAAGAGCCACGAGGGTAACAGAGGAGTTTGAGGACATCCCTGAGGAGAAGGAGGCTGCAGTCCAAAGAGGAAGGGTAGGACAGGAGAGAAGAGCTCCAAACTGACAGAGTAATGCTTGTATTGGATATTGGGCAGGAATTGCTCCCTGTGAGGTGCTGAGGCACTGTGGAGCTTTAAGCTCCTTCCAACCCAAACCATTCCATGATTCCATTCTCTAGATTATCCTCAGCTTTTCTCTCAGGTAGATAAAAGGTCACATCTCTGTGAGACTGAAGCAAAGTCTTTCAGCTTCTTCCCTCCTCTCCACTCCTTTTTGTTTTTAAAATCAAGGTGGGAAATGCTCATTTGACTTTGTAGCTTAAGTGTTTCCAGGCCTTGTAGATTCGCAAGAGTGACCTCTGGGATCAGGTTAATCAGCTCTGTATTCACCATTGAAACAAAGTGGGTCCTGGGTACATAGCGTGTGGTTTTCCATCATTTTTCCCTGGTTTTCCACAGCAATCCTGGGACCACCAGAAGTTAACGTCAGTTCCTGTCTCAACTGCATCAATGTCACCATCAAGCTGCCAAAGTCTCACTTCAGTGAAAACAAGAAGCTGCTGTCCTTAATTGATATCTATGAGGAGCTTGATTACGAGATAACCCTGAGATCACTGGAGGGAGAGCACAAGGTACAGAACTTTGGGGTTTAGTTGTGCTCAAAGGAAAGCATCAAATGGCTCTGCTGGTTATCAGCAGGAGGAAGTGTGTGAATAGAAGCAAGAGAAAACATAGATGTATGTTGTCTTTGTTTTCTTCTAGAACAAGATCAGCTTCTTGTTAGTGCAGAGTAGCAGGGCTGGGAGAGGAAGGTTAGATGTCTTGTATCCTGTCTGGAAATAAAGCACAGGTCATTGGCTCAAGGGATAAAGCTCTGGGAAGACACTGTAAAGACAGTTGAACAGAGTATGGTTACCTGTCCTGGGACTCCTGAACATCAGGTCATGCAGGTCCCTGTGGGCAGTTGTGCCTCACTCGCTGTGCTGTGAGGCCCAGGACAAGGACCACAGCTTGGCTGCCAGGGTTTTTTTCCTTGATTGCTGTTTAAAAATGCCATTTGCAGCTTCAGATCTGTGGGATCTCTGTGAGAGAGCTCCAAGGGAACACACAGGGTCCCACAACTGGAGGCAGGAGGTGATTTCTCTTTGATCATGGGTTATTTCACCCACAGGTGTAAGGTAGAGATTTGAATATCAGGTAGAACTGGGGATGGAGCAGTTACCAGGGAAACTGCTGAGTCACTGAGCCTGTTTTTTCCATTGCATTTCTCTGAGAGAGCCCAAAGTTTTCTCAGTGACCAGAGATCACTTTTCAGGCCTAACACCTAACTTTCCATCATTGTTTTTTATGGCAGAGACCAAGGGAGAAAACCACTGAAGAAACCTTTAGTACTGTCATCGAGGAACTGTATCCCAGTAGGAATTACTGTGTGTCCGTTCTAGTCACTGCATCTCTGAACAGGAATTCCATCCCCTCAGCCTGGAAGTGTGTCACTACAGACTCTGTGGCTCAGCAAGGTAACTGTACTGTGCTGCAGAGAGAGTCCCTCTGAGGGTTCAACGCTGTGGGAGTTTAGAAGTGAAATACTGAGAGGATTTCTAAGTGAAATACCCAACCTCATCCACTTCGGGGCAGCAAATCCCTTAGCCACACAGATCTCCACTAACTGCAGAAATAATTAGCAAAAGTGGTGTCATGCCTTTACTAATTCCTTGAATGTGGCATTTGGTCCTGGTTTGACTTTGGCCTCCAGAGGTTCCCTCTACTCAGAAGTACTCTGTGATTCTAGGGAGCTGTTGTGAGTGTGAAATATGAAGTGTGGCCATGCAAACTTCATTGATGTGTGTTTCTTGGTGCGGCTTTCCCCCCAGGTTACTATGTAGCTGCAGTTGCAGGAGCTATGTGCCTCTCACTGGTGTTAGCTGTTGTCCTGAAGTGTCTGCATGCAGGAGGTTATATTCTGCCAAAACATTCACTTCCACAGACCTTGGTATGTAACAATCCTCCCCTTTCTGATTGGGAGGGGGAAGGGTTAGGGTTAGGGTTAGGGGAAGTTCCCACCTGAAATTCCTAATTCTAATTTGGTACAAAACTTGTTTTGTATTTTGTAGCCTCTAACTTCTTCTACATTGAATACTGTAAGGGTTTTCCAGCATAAATATTTGCCATTTGCTACAAACATTCCCATAACAGATTTTCTTCACCTTTTTCTAGCACTTTTTGCCTCCTGTTTCTCTCCTTTGCTGTGTCATTACCTTCATATGCTCCAGTTGCTGAATACGACTTTGCAAAGCACTGTCTAAGGTTTATTCACGATTTTGTTGGCAGCACATTAAATGTTCCAAATCCTGAGTAATCCTCTGAAATGCAGAGGGAAAATGGGACTTGGGATGTTCAAATTGCTTCTAATGGTAATTTCTAAAGGACATGTGAGGGTGGTGAGACACTGGCCCAGGTTGCCCAGGGAGGCTGTGGCTGCCCCAACCCTGGCAGTGTTCACAGCCAGGTTGGCTGAGCCTTGAGCAACCTGCTCTGGTGGGAGGTGTCCCTGCCCAGGGCAGGGGGTTGGGGCTGGATGAGCTTTGAGGTCCTTCCAACCCAAACCACTGTGATTCTGTGATTTTCAGGAATGGAGAAGAGGGAACACTCCTAGCTGCATTGAACTCTGCAGGAAAAACCAAAACAGTGACCCAGAAGGAATCATTTGTTTGACAACCTCATGATTTTGGCATATTTGTTTCTTCATGTTCTTCTGTGCAATGTGGAAATTTGGCTGATGGTTAATTCCCTTGGCTCTTCTAGGCCTTCATCAGGAAGTTGTCCCACTCCACTTGGACATCTGTGGCAGAGCAAATAGCCTCTGTGGAGATCATCTCCAGAGAGGTTAAGGCCAAGGCCCGCGGTGGTGGCCATGAGGAGGAGGAGGACAGCGATGACGCCATGGCTGACCATGACTACATGAGGCGTGAGGTGATCAGCAGAGTCCTTCAGGCCTCCAGCACACCCAGCACCTTTACACAGCTCTCTGCAGCCTCCACCTGTGAGGACAGCAGCAGCCAAGCAAGTGACAGCCCAGCTGCTGACCCAGAAGGCTCTGAGGAGCACAAGGTGGACCTCGAGGCAGACCAAGACCCAAGGAATGAGTTGCTGAGCCCTGTCTCAGAGGGGAGTTGCAGTTACCCTTCAAGGCAAGGGAGCAGCACCTGCTTCACCATTGCCTTACACACGGTGCTGCTGGGAACCTCCGAGGAGAACACGGCAGGTTCTGCAGCTTCCCCCACCCAAGAAGACACAGATGAGTGGCAGCATGGCCTTGGTTTGGAGGCAGAGCTTCTGGATGACACGGGGAGTGTGCAGAAAGCTCTTTGTGTTGGGAATGACTTCCATGAATGGCAAAACATCTCTCCTCCTGGGGAAAGTGACTCCTCAGACTCAGACATGGAACGGAACACTGGATACATGAGAAGGTGAATCAGTAAGAGCCACAGTTTTATAGCACACAAGTCAGCATTGTCCAACTTTACTTCTGGACTCAACATACAGGTCTTGTCTAGTCTTTTTGTTAACATTTTGTGAGTATGTACCTCTGCCATGGAGGGAGCCAGGGGTGTCCAGCCTGGAGGAGAGAAGCTGAGGCCTCAGCTCAGAGCCCCTTCCAGTGCCTCAAGGGGCTCCAGGAGAGCTGAGAGGGACTTGAGACAAGGGATGGAGGGACAGGACACAGGGAATGGCTTCCCACTGCCAGAGGGCAGGGACAGAGGGATATTGGTCAGGAATTGCTCCCTGTCAGGTGCTGAGGCACTGGCACAGATTGCCCAGAGCAGCCTGCTCCAGCCCTGGGGGTGTTCCAGGCCAGGTTGGATGGGGCTTGGAGCAGCCTGGGCTGGTGGGAGGTGGTTTAATGTGTTGTTCCTTAGCTCTGTCACTGGATTTCTCTGAAACCTGTTTTGCTATATCTGTGCAGGGAAAGTGAACCTACAGGGGCAGAGATGATAATACTCAGCTCACCCAAAAAAAGTGAATCATGGCATTAAATCCCCTTTTTATACTTTTTTATATAATTTTGTGTAATTTTTAAATACTATTAAACATTTCTTGACGTTTAACAGTTCCTGTGCTGTACAGATCTACTTCACATTTGTGTTTCATGAACAGGATCCCTACCTGGATTTTTCCTGTGCCTCCTAACATGCCGTAGGAAACAGGAGTTAGACTGCCAAGAATTTATCCTTAGGTGAAAGGATTAAGGCACTTAACAGATGAAAAATATCCCCTTTTCCCCCCTTTTGTTGGTCTTTTAGGCCCTACTTTTCTACCCAGCAGCGGTTTCTGGCTGCCACAGGTGGCAAATGGATTAAACCCCCAGGAAGAACTGGTATTTGCAGTAATAGCTTGAAGAAACATTTTTTGCTCTGTGAAGGGTAAAATTCTCCTCCCTTCCCTCACTTTCATGCTGGTTTTGATCAGGGAATGTTCTGGTAGATGTTCTCCTCATCAGAAACTGTAGTGGCAGGAAGAGGAGTGATGGAATCAGACTGAAAGAGGGAAAATTTGCATGGGATATTGGGCAGGAATTGCTCCCTGTGAGGTGCTGAGGGAGGCACTGGCCCACGTTGCCCAGAGCAGCTGTGGCTGCTCCATCCCTGGGAGTGTTCCAGGCCAGGTTGGATGGGGCTTGAAGCAGCCTGGGCTAGTGGGAGGTGTCCCTGCCCAGGGCAGGGGTGGAATAGGATGAACTTTAAGGTCCTTCCAACCCAAACCAATCTGTGATTGTATGATTATCACTGTGATCTGATTTGTGCAACCCTAGCAAAGGCTGTGCCAATTCTCAGCTCCAAGGGTCCCACCACAATGTGGCACAGAGGGACACAGTTTTATGTGATCCATAAAACTATTATCTTTG